CTATAGTGTCTCACTATAACTGATAGTCTACTTCAATAGCCAACTGAAAGTCAAGTAATTTTTTGTTATTTAAGCCCAAAACTAACTTAACATAAAACAATTGCTTATAAAATAACTGGTTGTGTAAGTAAAATGAGTTTATACTCTATTGTATTGCAATGTATGAGATAGTAAATAAAACTAATGTTTATAATCATTGCATTTATATTAATGAATAACTGTTTACTTTATTTTGTATTAATTTCAAATTAAATTGAATAAAACTCAATAATTGAATTGTTGATAACAGTTTATTAATATATTATTTTTAGTATTTTTAATGATTTTATATTTATATAAAATAATAATTATGATTCTAAACATATTGATTGAGTTTAAAATTTAAATTACATGAAAATATTTTATATAATAATTTTAACTATAAATATATTTAAACATATAATAAATTTTCAAAACATAATATTTGTTTTATTATCGAGAATCCAATATTTTTAAAACTTATGGGATATAATTTATAAAAAAGAAGTCTTTTATTATATGAATAAATCTCGTATAAAATAAAAGTTAAGAAATAAAAAGATTTTGTTATATAAAAAACAAAACAAAAACAATGCATTGAAAGCAAAAATTGGCTTCAATTGAGTTCTAACTGATAAACTATTTCACAAAATATCTATTTTATATATAAATTTTTTTATTTATCTATGAATCATAGATATATTTAATACAAAAAAAAATACAATGAGTTTTTATGATAAAACTTGTTTTCACTATATTTCTACAAACATTTTGTTTTACTCCGCAAGGATTTAAAGAGCAATCATTTTTGTATATTACTTATGGCGTTAAACCCAGTAAGGGGTCGCCCACTGTCTTAACACTCACTATTGTTAAGTCACTTTGAGTTTACCCACTTATGTGTTGAGTTGACTTAATTTATCATTAAATTAAATAAGAAATAATGGATTTAAACGGTTAGGTTTTTTATGTGTATTCAAAAATATATTTGTTAAATGTGTGCATCACTTATGCTTTAAGTGGAAAGACATTAATTTTGTTGAATCAAAACAATATGTGTGAAAATAAACTCAAAATTTTTTATACAAAAATCCTATTGGATTAGAAACTTAAATAAAATAGTTTTATATTATTATATACCGTATTATTAAATATAATATTTTTAAAAATACAATATTTATATAAAATATATTTATTCTTATAGTATATAAAATGATATTTTTTTGTATATTGGATTAAAAAAAATTAAATGTCAAAATCAAAATTTTAATATTTCTGGGAAAATAATATAAAATAAAAAATTAGATACAAATCAATAAAAACATATAATTAAATTATTTTAAATTAAATAAAAATATAAGAATATATTAAAAGATCAAACTTAGTAACTGTCATTCAATAATTAAAATTCATTAAAATATATATCTAAATAATTAATAAATATTTTATTAAACAATTAAAATAATCAAAAATAATTTTTGAATATATATATATAATTGTTATTATTTATTAGATCTTATAAATATATTGATATTTTTATTCAATTTAACAAGTAATAACTTTTTAATTTTAATCTATTATTATTTAATACATAAATGCAAAATTTTAGTTAAACAATGTCTAAATAGTATATAGAAATGGCTAAATAGAAATTTCTAGTAAATTTCTCAGTAATAAATTTCTATAGAAATTTATTAATTATTATACTGTGTTCCTCTTATATATATATATATACAGTATATTGCTATTGTGTTATTATTATATTAATGATCAGGGTTTTAAAATAAATATGCTTTTTAAAAATGCTTGAAAATAGATGCCCAGAGCATGGCTGAGGAATGGCTGGCATTTACCAAATTTGGATTCTATTGTTTATGTCTGCTATTTTTAAGACCCTGTTAATGATACATAATATACATATATTGTACAACTAAGCAAATGTGATTATTAATTTATAATTACAGTTTTTTGTTAAAAGTTTATTCGTCATTCAGTTATAATTTTAGTTTGAATATTAAGTAAAATACTAATAATAATATTTAACAATTATTTGTAATTATGATGTATTGTTCAAAGAAAATAAATATTTATATACAATGAGATCCAATAAACAGATATTTCTTTTAAAAACTTTCTTTTTTTGTCAACTCTAAGCGTATATCTTAAATAGTTTATACTGTATTATAATATATTATATAATTTATATATTTTACAGTGAATACTATATAAAAAATATATTAAAATAATAATATATATACCGGTATTTAAATATTTATAGTTATAAATTTTTATAAATACTATATATATATGATATATATTTTATAAAACTAAAATTTTAACTTTGAAGTGCAAATAATATACCAATATAAAATATTGTATAAATGCCTGTATTAATCTAAAAGTTTTTGAAAAATATTATTTTTACAATAAATTATAGATATGAAAGTTTAAGTAATATAGTTTTTAAATTAATTTTAAAGATATAATTTTATATTTTTCAATATTATCAGTATAATTAAAGATATTTACAATTATTTAAGAAATAGTTTAAATTTAAATTGAAAACATTTTTGAATAATTTTAATTTGCTTTTTAAATATTTGATATTAACTTTTTGATATTACATAGGAAGTACAGTAGAAAATACTAATTGTTATAAAATATAAAAATTATTATAAGTATATTATAATCTATTTTATTGGATCTTATATGTATTGTATAAAACTTTATATATTTATTTAATATTATGTATTGGATTTGTCACAAAACTAATCGGATTTTTGTTTTTCGTATTTATAGTTAGAGATGTGTCACAAAATGTTAACAAATATAAAAACTATTTGACAAACTTTTTAAATTTCTTATTTTTGTTAACAGATAGACACATAAAATATTTGACATTTTAATACTATACAATTTATTATTTACTGTATTATATCATATATGGCAAAATATTGAGTTACAAAATTTTTAAAAATATAATATCAAAAAACTTAGCAAACACGTTTATCAATTTAATTTTTGTTATTAATATATCAATCATTATTAGACCTTTAAATTATTTTTTTTCGCTTTTAGTTTTATACATTATTTATAATAGACTACATTTTATACCTTCATTAAACTATTTGTGATCAAAATTGATGTTCTTATTAATCAATTTTAACTATTTAATGATACAAATTATGAATAATTGCAAAATATACTTAAAAATTTATTTAAAGCCAATTTTTTTATATTCAATACAAATACTTTATAATAGCCTATTATTATTAAAAGGTTTCATATTTTTCTAAGAAAAAGTTATTTATTTGACATCAAAATTGAAAATAACTTTCAAAGCCAATAATGGATAAGTAAATTGTTTTTGTATTTTAATTTATAGCATCTCATGAATTTTTTATAATATGATTGACATATTGATAGCTTAAAATGTGCAATATTTTATTATAAAGTTTTAATGCAATATTTTTTTTATTAAAAAATATAAAATCAAAATTTTATAAATCAATATATTTAAATATAGTCTAAATCAATAATAAATTTTTATTTTTTTATTTAGCTTTAAAAGTTATTCAAAAAATTATATTAAATTAAATTGAATTTTTGTATTTATGAAAAATATATTATATATATAAACATATTTATATATAGGTTTTTCATAAATTATATCAAATGATTTCGGATTTATGTAGGAAATGCAGTAAAATAATGATAATAATATCACTTTTCATATCATTAAAAGTATTGCATGAGTAGTATAGTTAAGTATATGACTTTTGAATGGCTTTTGAATGGCAAGTGTTTGAGTCCGGAATGAAAAACATTTTCATATAAATGTAACAAACATTTTGATCTTAAAATAGTGTTTTTTAATGCAAACCGTTATATAAATTCCATTAGAAAATCAATTTCGAGGCAAACATTATTTAACATTTTCTTACAATTTTTTATGTTATGTATGAGTCGTATATTAGTCTAAGACATCGTTTTTTACGTTCTCTCTCTCTCTCTCTCTCTCTCTCTCTCTCTCTCTCTCTCAACACAATTGTTAAAATCATTAAATAAATTTGACTCCAAATAACATATTCTATATATGTTTTTTGGTCACAGAATAAGGCAATCAATTTGTAATTAATTTTGAAGTCTTTCTTTTCTCATAAAATTTCTTATATTTGAAAATAAAAACTCTTTAAATCATTAATCGCTTATCAACTTTAGCTAATTTTATGCATTAAACTTTGTTTTTTCAATAGTATGGCAAATAAAAAGCAAAATATACAATTACATACTGTATTATAATTAAATAGCATGAAAATTGGTGTAAAACAAATGTGAAAATAAATACATTTGAAATCTGTGTTATTTTATAATCTTAAAATAGATAATAATAAATATACATTAAAATACAGTATAATGTTTATTAATAGAAAATTAAGATATTGTAAGTTGCAATTAATTTATATGCAAATTACATGCATCTTAATTTATTTTGAACTATTTTATTGTAAATATTTTAACTAATTTCACTTAATAGAGTGAATTTTTTAAACACTTTTGGTATAATCACAATAGGAAATTTAATTTTTTATTATAATGCAATAAAATCTATAAATATTATGTTAAATATAAATTATATTTATATTTTTAAAAATAGATAATTACTGATTTTAATTATTTAATCAAATATTAACTATTTTAATTTATATTATTATATTAAAATTTTGGAAAAAATGCAAAAACATTTAAAAGATTGCGTTTATTTTTATATAAATATTTGCAAATTTTTTATACTCTTAAATTCAAATAAACTTATATATTTAAGTCAATAACAATTATGGAAATTTTGATATTTTTTATTTATGATGTTTGATATTATTAAGTTACAAATAAATACAAATTATAAATAAACTAAAATACTATAAAATATAAATTATTTTTGTTAGTCTTATGTTAAAAATATCACAAGTTATAAGTATAACATGAATTCAAAGAAAGTAGAAAGTCGTGTCAGAGAACTACCGAAGCCGTGTTGTATACCAAAGGCTAACAAAACAAAACAGTATTTAATTAATAAAACAATTAATAACTCAAAAATCAAAGCGGAGACCAAACCGAAAGTGAATTATCATTCAGTTATGTTAAACAACACACTCGTTGAGTATGTCATTGCAAGTGTTGACCAACAATTAGATGTCGAGGAATCAGTTAAAGATATTTTATTAGAAATGTGTAATGAGTTCGTTGATAATACTATTAAACTGTCAGTTGGTTTGGCAAAGAACCGAAAGTCAAAGCAAATTGATGTCAAAGATGTTGGACTGGCATTAGATAAACGATATAACATGCAGTTCCCCGAGTTTGGCACCGGAATCAACAAGAGGTCAAATAAAACGAATCTCAAGAAATGTAATGAAAATAATAATAATAAAAGTGATGTCAAAAGTGTTATATTATCAGATAAAAGCAATAGTAATCAGTTACCTAAGTTTAGCACCGGTATCGACATGAAGCCCAACAAAATGAATCTCAAGAATAGTAATGAAAACAATACTAATAATAGTGATGTCAAATGTGGAGGAATGGCATCAGATAAACGACATAATATGCAATTCCCTAAGTTTGGCACTGATATCGACATAAATTCAAATATATTGAAACTCAAAAATCTTAATAAAAATCTTAGTAATACTAAAGATGTCAAAATTGTAGGATCGGTATCAAACAACTGTTTTAAAACACCGTTTCATAAGTTTGGCACCGATTTCAACATTAAACACAATAAAATGATTCATACAAAATGTAATGAAAATAATATTAATAGTAATAATAATATTGTTGTCAAAAATGAAAATGTTGAAGAAATGGATGAGTTTTTAACATTTTAGTTATGTTTAATTTTATTTAATTTTATTTAATTTTCTAAAAATGTTATATTTAATACATTAGATATATTTGTTAAAACATATACAAATTTTTATTTAAAAAATTTTTAAGTTTATTTCTGTATAGTAACATATGTTGAAGTTTATCTTTGACTTTTTATTATTAATTTGCATCAAATATTTTAACCAAAAAAAAAAATCTGATGAAAATCTTTAAGTAATTTTCTCGGAAATAATGTCTTAAAGCTTCAATAGTTTTGCTATAAAATCTACATTTTCTTATAATTAAATTAACCGTTAATTAATTAATTAAAAGACAGTTTTTGTTAAATTGCAATTCTCAAATGTGTTAAAACATATTAGATTTGCATCAATTCAATTATTACATTAACTTTTTTACTTGAAATTAAGTTTCTTATGGTAACATATTGTAAATCTTGAATAATGATAATACTCGAAATTTAATAACTGTTTTTTAATTGTTTTATTATTATTATTAATCATTCATTTTTAAGTGGACATTAAATAACAATTAAAGTGTAATGATATTAATTATTATCTAAATTTAACATAAATAAATAAATCTTTAAAAACAAATTTAAATTTGTTTAACAATATTACTATTTCAGAGTATTTTTTATTCAATTATCCTTATATTTATATAAGTTAATGTTAATATAAAAAAATTTATGATTTTATGATACAGTGATTTAAGTTGATTTATTTCCCTATAATTTATTTGATCCGTAATATTCTGATATTTGTAATGTTTAACTACAAACTGTTGATTACAAATAAAATGTCAAAATATTTAAATTTTAATAACAAATTTATAGAACAATCGTTTGGAAAATACAACAATGTTTGCTATTGACATAAAATAAACTTAATTACAATTATAATATATTCATAAAATGCTTTCATTTGTATATTATTTATATATTATTGAAAATACTGTAAATATGCCTCAAAAACTTTGTAATTATAAAATAATAATGATTATTATTATAAACTATACTCATATCATGATTATTCATTTAACTATAGTGTCACTAAATTTAACTATTATTTAAATATTAAATAAACATTAATTTAAATTAATCATTCAAGTGTTAGAAATATTAATTATATTTTATAAATCACCAAAATTATTCATAAAATTAATTTTGTAAATAATTATTTGCATGAGTAGATACTTTTTAACAAAATTTAAATCTCATTTACAATAATAAATATTTTTAGTGATTTTTATTAATTCACAATTATACAAATTTAAATATAGTATCAGATCATCCAATATATTTAAAATATTTCATGTAATTAAATCTATAACTTCTTATTAAGTTATTAAGTAAATACTTGATGCAAATAACATATATTTTATTTTTAAATATTTATTTTTTTTATATCTTCATTATTAGTGATATTGAAATCTCTTTAAGTGTTGTCACTTAAGTGATTAAAAATGATTGAATTGTCACAATAATTGTCATAAATTTTGTTATTTTAAAACTCATTTACTAATTCTCAACATAAATATAACAACATTACAGATAAATATATTTTCAAAAAATTGCTTAACAATCAAGTCGTTTGAATCATTAGTAAAACAAATATTTTTGACTTAAAATATTTTGTAAGATTTATTATACAAATAAATTCATTTTAAATGATATATTTTTAACTTTGTGTCACATTTATGATGTACTGCTGTTTACTGTTTATATTTAGTTATAATTATGTGTTATCTTTTGAAAAATAAGTTACAAATGGTTGCCAATTAAATAAAAATAATCGATTATAATTATCTATCTATATAAATATTATATTATGTTTAACAGGGTAAAAGTTATAAGATATTTAATATAAAATTAAAAGTAAGATATTAAATATATACACATAATATAATGAGTATAAAAATACTAAAAAATAATCATAATAAATATTAACAAACTATATCATTAATGTAATTTTTATATTATGATAAATTAATAATAAAAGTATAAATATAAGTACAAGTTATTAAATAGTCTAAAATTTAAATTATTACATAAAAAGGATTAATTATTAAGACAATATAAATTAACGATAATATATAATTAAAATAATTTTTTAATTTTAATATTTTTATTAAATCGATTTAAGCATACCATAAATATAAGATATAAAATAATTGATGTGTAAATATTAATATACATTTTAAAAGTATAATTTGGTATTATAGTATTTTATGTTTAAAAACTTTTTATTGTTTAATTTTATTATAATAATTTTTATAATATTATAAATATCAGATTAATATATTTTTTATATATTTTATAATACATTATTTTATATATATAAATTTAATATATTTATATTTATGTTGAAAAATAATAGAAAAAATCATCCAAAAATGTTTTTAAAAATATGTTAACTTATATATTTTTTATAAATTTATTTCTATATAAAAGTATAGTAAAATAATAATTTATAAAAATGTTGTTTCATTGAAAAAGGTAACGATAGTATGTTTAGCCACTCGTAATGATTAATGATTAGTGTATGAAATAGTTAGGTCTATCCCTTGCAGGCACTGACACACTAGTGAACAGTGAGTCTAACTTATTGTTGTTGCAGTTGTGTCGACAAACTTCTTATTCAACTATTTTTTTAATACGGCTTTCGTTGGCCATCAAGACATCGATATGATTGATGATAGGATGTGCTCTCAAACATGTATAAAGAAAACACTTTTTGCTTATAACTCTCTCTCTCTTTTATTTTTTCAATATTTTTAATGTATTGTTGTCTTCTATAATATATATCAAGATATGAATGAAAATGTTTCTTAAAGAAAACAATACAATCCTTATCGATGAGAGGCGTCGATACGGTATGTGGACATTGTATATGAAATTAATAATATGTAATAATCTAAACACAACTATACATATAATATACTGTACTAAATATGTATTTTGGGAATAAATAAAAATGATAGCTAAAAGGCTGTTAAAAAATAATATTTATTTTTATTTAAAAATATTATTTACCCGAAGGCATAATGTCGTTGAATTTAAAATTAAACACATTATATAGTATATGATGAGCACAGTTACCCATTAGAATAAACACCCATTTTTGTTCCCATACTAATCTTTAATGTATTATAATAAATAATATTGAGTTGAGTGGCCGTTGATCAGGCGGCCAATAACTCGGGTTCGGTTAAGTATACGAAATAAGTACACGTTTTTATATGAAAGCAAATGATTTTATTAAATATAAAATATGCGACTAAACGCTGTGAAAGCTAAACGACTACTACTGTTGCGGAAACGGTAGAGTCGTTGAAATAATGCAATGCTGTCGCTGTTGATGTTGTGTTGAGCGCCAGCTGTTAACACACTCCCCGGCCGCGAAACTGCGTATATTGTCCGAATTTTGCGACTTTCGGATAATGTGATCACGTACATCAATCGGTGATGTGTTTCGGTGATTACGGTCATGTTTATCGTCAAACCGTCGTTGTTTGTCTTGTGGTAGACGTCCAATCGGTGTCATAGGTGGTCGTATTAGTGGACGTTTCTTTTCGCTGTAATTTGTGATATCACGCTTAACGGTAAACAAACCAATTTGAGGTATCCGCGGACTACTGCCGGAACACCTAAACGATTTGTTATGCGATTTGATCGGCTCCTGTCGTCGACATTGACGTTTCCAATGATATTCGGTGTAACCGTGTCGAAGACATCGAGGACAAGGAGTCGGCGGTATGTCATACTTACGATTGTCTTTACGATTTATGTGATTATTTTCGGTGACAATACACTTTTTTGACAGTCATATGAGCGACTTCCGGTTTATTCGTGATGTCTCGTTGACTTCGCAGGCGCACAGTTGTCTTCATTTCTGCGATGTCGAGTCCAACGAGAACATCGTATGCGATGTCCATTACGTGAATTGTTACGTATTCGGTGTGTCCGTCCATTTGAATCTTAACGTTGACGACACCAAGTGTATACTTATCGCCGGCGATGGTACCTACTTTGGTCTTATGTCGCGCGTCGGGTCGGAGTTTCATTTGTTTTGCGACATCCTTCGATAAGATAGTAATGTCGGCGCCATTATCGACGAAAGCTCTTACGGGTTTGTCATTTATTCGTATGTCTCGATATCGTTTAGTATGCACAGTATGCGAGACAGCGTTTACGACTGGATCGGGATTTTTCGGTTCTGTTCTCGGACAGACGCGCATCCAGTGATATTCGGTTATTTCGTGTCGTCGGCATCGTAGACATGGAGTCGGTGGCCTATCATTGTTACCGTTCTGTCGCTTTTTCCAACGATTACGTTTCGGTTGGCCGTCTTCGTCGTCGATAGCGTTAACGTTAAAACTTTTATTTCTTTTTCGTGTCTCTTCGACGAGAAGTGCTATCTGTAGCCATTCTTGAGGCGTTGTCGGTCGTTGACAGGCAATGAGCGCCCTGTAATAGTCGGGCATACCCTTCGTAAGTAGACCTATCTGTTGTTCGTCGGAGGCGCGCGCTTCGTCCAGAAGGCGGCGCATATCGTGATAGTACGTAAGTACGCTTTCATTAGCTTTGAGTTTTCGGTCGGAGGCTTCAACAAGACCGTGACCAACCATACGACCAAAACGCGCAATCATGAGATCGGCATTCGGCCCAGGTCAGGTTTGGAAGTTTTCGGGCGACTTCACGACAATACCAACCGAAGGCATCGCCGGTCAGGTGCTTGGCAAGCGCAAGCAGCCTCTCGTAGTCGTTATAAGCGTATGTCAATGCGGTGAAGCCATCGAGCCATTCGTCGATAGGAGTTACGGAGGAACCGCCTATGAATGGTTCACATAATTTAGATGCGTGTATTACGGTACTATGCGGTCGTGTTGTTGAGGTATCGGCATCGGAGTCCAATCGCTGTACGCTAGTAGTCGATAAACTCGATGCCGTATTGCGATTGTTAATCACGTTTCGTGCGGCGGCGGCCACTTGAGCAGCTCTGGTCAGCGTTGCCAGACGTTGTGCTAAGCCATCATGTGTCGGGTCGTTAGTCATATCGCGCGTCAATGCTTCCAAGTCTGAAGCGATTGACGACAAGTCTTCATTCGTGTCTTCGGAAATCGGGTTGAGTCCGTTCGCACCCGTCGTTACGTTCAGGTCGTTACTGAACGGCGGTAGTGTTCGGCCACTACGTAATTGTTGAGACATCGTTGTCTTCGTATCGTTTTTCTAAAACGCTTTATTAACGAAAAAACCGTTGAATCGATGAGAGCCGTTAAGGCGACAAAAACCGTTGTTTTTTGAATTCAAAAGTGTCGGTGAGTAGGTCGTCGAAGTCGATTTACTTTCGATATCCGCGTGGTAAGTATCTCAGTCGACTGCGCCAATTGAGTTGAGTGGCCGTTGATCAGGCGGCCAATAACTCGGGTTCGGTTAAGTATACGAAATAAGTACACGTTTTTATATGAAAGCAAACGATTTTATTAAATATAAAATATGCGACTAAACGCTGTGAAAGCTAAACGACTACTACTATTGTGGAAACGGTAGAGTCGTTGAAATAATGCAATGCTGTCGCTGTTGATGTTGTGTTGAGCGCCAGCTGTTAACACAATATAATATTATAAATTTTCTATTACTAATCTTATATAAAATTGAAAATTATAATATAATTTTTATGATATTAATAAAGTTCCAATTTTTTATTTTATTTAAACAAATAATATTTATTAAGTTCATATACTAAATCCTATATCCATAACACAACTAAATAAAAGTTCATATTTTTCAATTGAATGCAAACAAACAAATCAATAATATTATTTTTAAATGTATTATTGATGGCCTAAAAATGTATGCATCAAATATTATCAATAACCGATTCACTCAATCACATAATTCATTGCATTATCTCAAATAACTTTGTCAATAAAACAAGTATATTATTATATAGTATTTACTATACTATACTACACTACACTATAAAGTTAATACAGTATATTGTATTAGGTAAAAAAATCTTTCAATTTATTGATAAAAAAAGTCAAAAAATCCATATTATTTTTTATTTTCTCTAAATAAATAACAAATCACACAAAAAATCACAATATAATCAATTTTCATACATATATTATATGTCGTCAAATTAGACTTGAGATTTATTTTACATTAGTTATATAATAGACTATAATATGGCATAGTATAGTAAATTATATTACATATTATATAATATGATCGCCAATATTGCGTGTGTGTATGTTTGAGGACAACCTAAAACCTATTTCTAATTAATTTTAATGATATGGCGAACACCACCCAAAACTGACCATTCATTGGCCCAAAACTATTATGATTTTTCCGTTGACTCTATTATTACGCCATTATTATCACAAATAAAGATTTTTGATAACAAAATTTATATTATCGTGAAATAACCGGTAATACAGTGGTTATTCAATAAGATAATGAATGTTGGATATAACCATTACACCATAAGGTATACCTTTATATATCAATATATCATTAAGTTTTATAAAGTTATAATTTTATTAAATATTATTAATAAAAAATAAATTAAAAAATACAGCATATATAAAATATTGATAAATCAACTAATATTATTTTTTAATAAAATTAAATAAAAAATATATCATATGTAAGATAACATAAATATTTTTAAGTAATTTCATAAATATTTGTGTTATATTTTTAATGTTTATACATATAAATCAAATATACTTATAATTATTGCTATTTTTAATATGCTTTAACATATTTTAATTTAAATTGTTTCATTGCTGTATTTTTAGATTTTATTGCAAATATCTATCATTATTAGTTAGTTAAATATATAATTTAAATTAGTTACTTTTACAACAATCAATCACAAGTTTTATAGTTAAATAAAATAATTATATAGAGTTTATCAAAGCAAATTACTAAAAATAATTTTATAATACATAAAATCGATACACAATTATCACAACCTATAATTATTTGCAATTTTAACGGTGATATAAAATATTTTAAATATTGCATATAAAATATCATTTTATAAGTAAATAGAATACAATATAATGTATAATCATTTTATGCATATTATGACAATAAAACTGTAATTTATATTAGAATGAAAATAATATAAAAATAATAAAAATAATATAATAATATGTTTTTCTATACTATTGTATTTGACTGTCACTATATCAACATAATATTTCTACTATTTATAAATATCATTTACTATACAGTATTTCTAATGACATTTGTTTACTTTTTATATATGAAAGAGAGAGAGAGAGAGAGAGAGAGAGAGAGAGAGAGAGAGAGAGAAAGAAAGAAAGAAAGAGAGAGAGAGAGAAAGAGAGAGAGAGAGAGAGAGAGAGAGAGAGAGAGCTAATGACAAACATTAACTAAAAATCCATTATTACATAAAATACTAGAGATTTATTTAGTAAATCTATTTATAGTAATAAATTGTACTAATAGTAGATATAATTATATTATAAGTAGATATAGAATAGTATGGATAAAGACTCAGAAATTAATAATTTTGGAGATTAAAAGAGATTAATTTACTTACAGTTATATACAATACTTATTTGGCACTAATATAATCATAATAATAGAAAAAATAAGTTGTATTTAATATTATTATAGAATAACTAAATTGAAGAATCAATTGATGATATTATATCTTAACAGTAGAAATATCTCCATCTATTAGTTTACAACAATATGAAAGGTTTAGGTTTAGTATATTAGAAATTACAGTATATTATTGCATAGATTTGTTTTATATTACCGGTAATACATTTAATTGTTTATTAAGATAATCATTGTAAGTAAACTATTTGAATGATTTGGATTTAAATTTAAACTTTTAATTATAAAACATTAAATGGTTGATAATAATATATTAAATATATGTAAAACATTAGTTGAATTTTACGGCATTTACTCATTTGGCGCACCAATAGATTAAAAAACTAATTTTATTTTTATTAAAACATTTTATTTTAATATGAAATTGTATTACAATTTAGTTTATATGTTGCAGTCGTGAAGCACAGGTATATCTAAGCATAAAATGTAAGGTCAGTGCTGACCCTTATATAGAGATTTTAGGCAATACTTGACCCATAAAATAGTCGGCAGTTATTTGAAAAGTAATAAACATATAGAAAGTGAATACTTTCTATAAATTGCAAAAATGCTAAATTTAAGTCTATTTGATAATTAAATTATTGCTATATTTTAGTGAAATATAGATATTTTAAAGTTATTTTCAAACATAAAGTGTTTATACTTTACATATATTTTAACTTTAATTAGTTTTAGTTATGTTAGGCCAATGAGTCTAATTCTGATACATTTAGCATTATTTGCTATATTACTTGACTTTTTAAAATTTTTTTATAGATAAATAATATATAATATAAATATATAAATAATAATAATTATTATTCTAATCTTAATCTAACAATTATTTTAACTTTAATAATAACTAACGTTGTAAAACAAACATAAAAATATTTCAATAGTTAGAATATTGATAATAATCTAAGAGTTAAACAAAGTTTTTATTCTAAGGTAGTATTGTATGGTATAAACATTTGTTGTGTTTTAAAACAATTTTCAAAAAATCAAATTTCAACATGGTCAAATAGAAAATTTATGTATTTCCAGAAATTAGCCGAAATTAGCAGAAATTATAATAAATTCAATTTAAAATATGTTATCAACAATTTAGTTTATCCATCATTTTCCACAATTGTTTTAATATTATTTAATATTTTAATATCTGTGCAATAAAACTGATGAAATATAAATTATTATTTCATAAATACTTTAGAAATATTGTTTAACTTTTTATTAATATTAGAATAGATGAGCAAACATGCAATTCTGAAAAAATGTTAGAAATGACAAATAATGTTCATATGATTCAAAAGTTTTGACATAAACAATGATATTTGATATAAAAATCACTATATATTATATTATAGAGGTGTCTAACAGGAAAGTGACACAGAATACTGTATATAATATAAGTTTTTAAATAGAAATTTGTTATCTTTTTATAATTTTTAAATTTGATATTTGAAATAAAATAAATAATTTTAATGATATTCTGTTTAAAATGTTTAAACATTAATTCGATATCATATAAAATTATTGTATAAAATTGAAAAAATTACATTAAAATAAATTTTTAACAACGATTAACAGATATAAATATTAGTATGACAAACAAGTTAATTACATATCATGTAGTTTTTTCATGTGATATATACGTGATATTATTATTTCATAAATTTGTAGGATTTATAAAGTTTTTGTTAATATTTGTAGTTTTTGTTAATATTTGTAAAGTTTTTGTTAATATTTATAAAGTTTTTTATATAAATATCTAAAAATATAATATACTGATATATTATTACCATAGTATATATTATTTAGTGCGATACATGTATTATAATACAGTATATTTAATGAATGTTATATACAGTCTAATAAATAATTTGATATTTTAAAATTATATGTAACATAATGTTACTAAGATTATAATAATAGCTGATATTTTTGATACTGTCGATAAATTTAATCAATATTGATTTTATAAATTTTAAAATAAATTTAAATGTCCTTATAGTAAAATTTATAAATTTATAATTTTATCAACTATTATATTATAATGAAATATATTTGTAGTATAGAAAAAATGAAGATATTTAAAAATATTATTTAAAAAACAAATTTTAAACATTGTTAATTGTCAATAGTTTGTTGTTTATTATTAAGTTTGATTTTACAATTATTATCATCAATATCTATATTATTATCAGTTGTTTGTATTATTGCTGCTTTGGGTAATTCATATTTAACGTATCTATAAAATTAAAATAAATATATAAATAAATACTTCTAAAATACCACATTTAATTAATTATTAAATTACAAAAGTTATTAATTAGCAAAAATGTAAATTAAAAAAAATTATAGCATAATATACTAAAAAAAACAATATTCTGTACTTACACTAACAGTGCAATTGCCACCACTTGGAAACTGGCAGCTAATTGAAAGCAAGTGCCGGTATAGCCTCCAGTTTTGAGAGAGTGCTTATAGATTATAGGAAACACAATACCACCGGACAGAGAGCATAGGTTAAACCAAAGCGTCAAAAAGGCAAACACTTTCCCCCTCTCGTCCGGTGCAACCAATTTGGATAATAGTGACCGGATTATGGGTAACGGATATTCAATGAACATCAATAGTGCTACTGTAGAATACATGAGCGCACTAGTGGTAGCAAATCCCATAACTATAAGTCCCGCCATACGTGAAACTACTCCCAAAACTGCAATAGTGATATCGCCCAGCGATGGCCATACATATAGCTTTATGAGTGGCAGCATCAGTAGTGCGGCGCCGGTAACACCAAATCGGATACCACTATAAAAACTATAATCGGATGATTGCCAAAGGAGTGGCCGATTGCGGACATAGAGAAACGTTAGACTAATCATCACTTCTGTGGCATATGTTATCAAAATGTATGCACCGATTATAAGGAACATTATCTTGCGATTGTTGGCCTCCCGGGGCCGCACAACTGTTTTCATAACATCAGTAAAAAGTTTATAAACTGATTTTATTGAAAATCGGGACTCAATGCTGACGTGTCTACGCGGTAAAGGATAGCGACTAATTCGTGACCAATTGTACAACACTAGTGTTAAATGTATGCCGAAAAACAGTCCAAAGCATATGTAGTATTTAGTATAACTATGCGATGAATACTTTTTCAGTATAAAACCTGTGGTTATTGACCCGAGAAACTCGCCGATAAAAATACTGGCCTCGAGTGCTATCATACGGAGAGTACGGCTCTTAGAGTCAGTTATGTCGGACACAAATCCAAAACAATTTGACAATAGACTGATAGAACCGCCAGATATGCCGCCCAACAGTTGACACATTGTTATCATAGCTAACACATTGACGGCAGAGTCGGACAAATACAGAGCTGCGAACAGATATAATACTTGTGCGGCCAATGATAACAGTGGTGGAAATGTTAGCGGCAATATCCGGCCATTGATATCGCCGTACGAACCGGCTATAAATGAGCCGAAAATCGAGGCACAAGTTAAAGCAATGTTATTGTAGAGCAATTGGTCGGCACTGCGGGCCTGAATAGTGGCCAACGCGTCGCTTTCGGGGCTACTCTTACTGATAGTACAGGTGCTGCCATTGAAGTAGTCTCTGCAAACCCGTTCCCATACAAGATCCTGATAAGTGGAAAACTCACCGAAAATAGCAAACATGTATAGAAAAGCTAACGGTTCTACCGTTAAGTGTCGGACCGGGAGTGACATAATTATCACTACAAGTGTATTGTTTTTTTTATTTTATTTAAACACTGATATAGTAATCAAATAGATAGTCAATTATGCACTTTGTTTGTAATGATATAAGTTATCATTGATATGACTTATCTAATGATATTGAAATTGAAAGAGAGAGAGATTTTAAAAATACATGTTTGAAATATTTACAAAAAGCATGTAATTGTATGAAATGTTTAGTACAGTACAGCACATGACTGTGTTTTTTAATTATATTATGTGTACTAAACACACACTTTGTGCGCAATGTATTATAGCAGTAGAGGTAATGATTGTCGTTATATAACTTATAATTACCTTAAAATAAATGAATTATATCTTTTTTGGCACAAAAATTACTTTTAAAAAATATAAATGACATAATTTAAATGCAAACCAACATAATAATTATATAATAAAATGCAATATCATCAAGATAAAAAATATTAGTTAAAAAAATACTGTATAGAAATAATTAATGATAAATGAATAGCAATAATTGTAAAACTTTAATTGAAGTTTAAATGATCAATACTTTTTTTTAACCCACCAATACATTAAAAACTTATTAAATATTTTAATCATTTTATTAAAAATATTAGTTTGTTTCAACCAAAGTGAAGCTCATTTAAATGAATAAAAGTATTAAATATATACTCAGTTTTGTAAATTATATAGTGATTTAGTATGTAATGTTAAGAAAAATATTTTTACAATTTTATGATTTACTAATTTAAAAAACACGATATTATTTTATAAATAAAACTAATAAGATATTGAAATAATTGAAATGACCCATACATTTATAAATATTTAATATATAATTTATTTTCTGTAAATAAAATTCAAATACAATAATAATTAGAAATCTAATCGTTTATCAACACAACTGTCAATAGGTTTACGAATGGCGTCTACTTTACTACTCTTTCCGACGCCGAGCTTTGGTATTCCACTATTGAGTCCCTCAAGCATTACACAGGCCTTACATACGGACTGACTTGATATGGATCCACATCGGGAACAAACACCACGTGCCGGCAAACGGGCAATCGTTGTCTCTTTCAATGACATCAATTCACCCGAATGTATGATATCGAGTATAACCGACGGCCGAATAGACTCCAAGTCTTTGAGGAAAGTTCTGGCAAATCCGCGATACGAATTGGGAGCGTATATGCATTCAGTAGAGAAATAGTCCAATGAATTAAAGTAGGCGTACATTACGATCTCCTTTTCATAGCAATACTTGAATGGTTTCACACGCGGTATAGTTCCCTCACTTTGGCCGTCATTATCGCCACAATTGGTCACTATATTAGTGGATCGTTTAAGTCGCGCCACATCTCCTCTCAATATGTTCATCAGTATAGTCTCTGCCACGTCGTCAGCATTATGTCCCGTAGCGATAACATTACAATCGATGGCCACTGCGCCCTTGTCCAGGGCTTGCCGTCTGAAAACACCGCAAAACGTACAGTTATTCTTCAGACCCGTCTCTTTGACCACTGCGTCCATTGTCCAACCGTACAGATCTTTGTATGACAATATCTTAAGCGGTAATCCGTATTGATGTTGATTGCGTTTGACGGTCTCCAGTGAGTCGTCCCGATAGCCGGTAATGCCCTCATCAATGGACAACAAATATAAATCCAGTCCGTAGTCGTAGCGATCGTTCAATAGCTTCATAACGTACGCCAAGACAGTCGAGTCTGAGATGTAATCAGAGTTTAAATTATATTTTTTAATAATAAAAGTTAAGTCAAATGTAAACCCTTTCCTCCCGACGCCCCGATCGCCACTTTGTCGCCGCGTTTGAACAGTTGTCCCGTTGTTATCGTTTCGTGTATTTCTGTCTCAAAACATGAGAAGAAACAAGTCTTGCAAAGAGCTGATCCCTTCATAAGAAAGAAAACAATCCTTTGAAACAAGTGTTACATTAATTGAAACCATCGATGGTTTGGCCGATAAAACATACATTTTTCGGTCGTTTAAGAACTGGTCGTTCACTTTGACAGACATTGCATTTGAGAGCCATTTGTGGACCAAATTGTGGTCACAATTGAATCAAATGAGTGTCACATGTATTACAATATTATATAATATTATTGTCAATGCATTGCATTCATGTGTTTACTATAATATGTATTATTATTTATACTGTAATTCATTCATAAATAATGTTACGGTTTATTCTATTTATTATTCTTTAATTTATTTATAATTCAAATATATCTAAATTTTATAATTTATTTATGAAATTATTATTAAGAAAATTGTAACAATAATATGACATAATTATTCAGATTAATAATAATGTATTTAATTTCTTCAACATAGCAAACAATAATTATATAAATTATTGAATTTACAGACTTAATAATAAAAATAAAAATAATATTTTATTTATAAATATGAAATATTTAATATTATAAAACATAAGTATAATTTTTTTCTTGGATTTACATATTTAAATAAATAATATTATATTATAATGTTATAATTAATCATATATAATAAAATACATATTAAAATGTATATAAATATATAAGTAATTTATTATCAAACTTAATGTTAGTCATATACTGTATTTATATTATAATATTATTGTCATATATAATATTATTATTACAGAATTTTATATTCAAAAACCTTTTAGAAACTTTCTATAAAATTATTTTTTTAGATTTTATATTTGATCATCTAAATATATACTAGTATATAATATACATTTATTTTGATAATAGTACAAAGTTAAACCAAATGTTTAAAGTGTTTATAAAACAAAAAGTTTTATTCAGCAGTTTTATTGCAAAGATATATTAAATACAATAAAACAATTGTAGGGATAAACTAAATTTTTGATAACATATTTTAAATGAAATTCAATATATATATATATATTTAATATATACAAAATTATATTATTACAAGACAATAATATTGTTATAATTTTGTTTTTATTGATATAAATTTAATATTGACATACAATTAGAAAATCGATAATTTATTAGATAAAAATGTTAAATTCATTATTTATTTAATATTGTCCATAATAACTAAATTTATAAAAAAATAGTTAAATTATTATCTATTTAAGCTATTGAATAAAAATATCAAAATACAGTTGTTGCACACATGATATCTACAATTATTTTAGCTATAATTTTATAATCATTTTGTTTATTGTATCTTATTTTTAGTATATTTTACTGTCTTATATTTACACATCATTATCATTGACCTTTCAATACCTACCTTTCCTGGAACTGACTGTCATTGACCACATCCAGTGGCTCCTCAATGACCGGTCAGTATCCTGGTTAGGGATTATCTACTATACAAGCCAACCAATACCTGTATCTCCCGCCATACATACCTCTCTATATAAACCATATCCACTGTACATACACTCCAGTGCTTCACTGCCTCTCAGTCAGTGCTTCTCATACTCTCTTACTAGCACATCGCTGCCAGTCATTACTGCTACTAATACCTGAGCCAAGCCTCAGCACCTATACCTATCCCAGACATACACTCCACGTGTTCTCTTAAATACTTACCATTTGTATCACCATTTGATCCATTGTTTTACAATAAACTTGTTATTTGTTATCAATCGTGTCTTCATATCATTCATACATATCAGTGATCGGTCTGACCGTTCAGTCCACTGATATCTACAGACATACTGTTCGCTGGCCAACCACTCACTGTAGGAGAAGACATCGGAGATTAGGATCACTCCTAAGCCTAGCCTTTGGACCACAACTGCAGATCGGAACTCATATCACCTGTTGGTCTCATAACGACTTACTGGTGATCTTATAGTGGATATCTGTCTCATACCGACACATATCTACTAGTGTTTGGTATTGATTAGACGGAAGTACAGGTCTCATACCGACGCACGCTAAGTACGACCGGTCTATTTGGACATCCATTGTCTGAATAGACATTCCTCTGGAACTAAACAATACTACACCACAACACAGTATTTATAAATACTAAGATAATATATATTTTATGTAATTAAACTTTATGTTAAATTTATAATATTATTAGAAATAGACAAATAAAAAATTTCTCACTAATATTAATTTATAGAAAATCTATTTTTTATTATACTTGAGGTTCGATCAAATCCATCCCTCGTTTAATAATCCAAAAATTCCATATTATTTCTGTTCCCTAATAATTTCCAAGGAATCTATTTTCTTATCCTACCACCTATTGAACCCTAAATAACACATTAAATATTATATTAAACTGTATTATTAAATTGAAATTTATTTTTGCAAAATATTAAAATTTGTGTACTATTTAGTGTAATAATTAGAGACATCAAAATATGTGAAACACATATTTGTTATGTTAAATATATTCATCCGAAGAATCGATATCTATTCGAATCATATAATAAGAATTCTTTTGAAAATTTTTCGAAACAAAAACATATTTCCATACATTATTACATTTTACAATAAAAATTGTACACTTTTACAAAAATATATAATTTAAAAATGTATAAAACATTATTAAATAACATTAAGTAACAAAATTATTAAATTAGCAAATATTTGAAAAAATGTTTACGAACAATAACTTAAAAACGAAATGATTTATATGCTGATATATATATATATATATATATATATTTAAATATTAATATTATTAAATTAATGATATATACTATAATATATTTATCTCTCAAATTTAATTATTAATAATATACAACTGAAATATGTACACATTTTGCTCAATTATAATTAAATTTATAAAAAAATAAGCATATTTTCACATATTTTGATCATTTTGAGCATATATTTTATTAAATATTTTAGAAATATTCAACACATATTTTGATGTCTCTAGTAATAATATATATATATTTTTTTTTAACGATGAATGGAGAAAAAACAAATATTTTCTATATTTTCCGCGAAAATTGAAAGGATTTTATTTGGAAACTTTCCTCTCTTGGAAATTTGCCAAAACTCTAATTATACTGTACTTTATGACCTCCATATCTATAGTCATAGTAATACTGCATTAATGTTACATAATATACAGTGTGTTCCACCAATAATTACTCAATTACACTCAATACTTATCAATGCATTGGTTATACAATGGGTGAGTAATTATTCGTGGAATACACTGTACATTCTATTATTTATAAATTGGATCCCTATATATATAAAATTAATATAATTATTTTTTTAGTCTAATGTAATTAATAGATTAAGTTTTTACAATATTAAGTTATTATTAATAAATATAATGTGTTTCTACAAAATTAAAAATATTAATAAATTTAAATTAACATGGAGATTTTGTAGCCAGAAATCTATGTATTATTTTAAAAATTTATCTTTAAATTTCTTAATTTCTTAAAATCTCTAAATTTATCTTAAAAAACTCTAAGCATTATTTAATGTTTTAGTTATTATTAAATAATTATATAATGTTTTAATATTATATTTCAATTAACATTTTCTATATTATATTTATTATATTCATATTATTAGATTTTAATAGTAAGTTATATTTTATCAATTATTGATTAATAATTATAGTATGTTACTAATATACAAAATAATATAATATAAAAATACAATAATTTATAATATAGTATTCTTGAATATTTTGGGAATTAATTTTTATATAATTTTTTAATGATTTGAAAAAGTGAGCATAACTTGTAAAAAAATATATAATGATAAATGGAATTAAATTCTATAAAATATCACAAATATTTATATACAATATAATACATTTATAATATAATATGCAATATTACATAAATTATATGTAAATGTATAAAAATATGTTAATTTCTAAATAACAGCAACTGACAGGTAAAAATTAAAAAAAAACATTTTTAATAATGATTGATTTTGCATATATATTAACTCATTTAATGTCTTAAATTTATATAAGATAATTTTAATACTATATTAATGTTTAAAAATAAAAATTTAGTCGTATACTAATTGAATATTTAAATAATTTAAAATTTGAGTGAAAATCTTATTAAGCAAATTGTTAAAATAAAAAAAATAATTGTTATATATGCAATATTATAATCTTATTCAAAATTACTTTTCTCAAAATATATACTTTATTTATATTTTGCTAATAATCAATGTTTTTTGTCTTAAATTATATATTTAATGTATTCACATATTTGTAAAGATAACTGTTATCTCATAACATAAATTCATTTCTTTTATTTGTTTTTCGGTCGACATTTCGGGCCATTTGGTTGTATAGATAACTTCGGTTTATTACTTATAAAATAAACATAAAAATATAAATATAAATAAACAAATGAATGCTATTTTCATAAATAAATTCTCATAAATTTCTTTTACTTTCTCTTTTCATAAGAGGTTTTTGCTTCTCTTAAAAATACATTCAATAAAAATATTCATAAATTATTTGAAGTTTTAATGACTTTGTTCATAATAATAAAAAAATTCATACTATTAAATTATGTGTATATACAGTACTAGAAAAATATCTATTGTAAATCGACAATTGAGTCAACAATATAAAACTATTTTATAATAAATGATGTTTATTTGTATTATTAAATAAATAAAAGCTAATCCGTGGCAAAAATAAATAAAAAATAAGATTAAGACAATAAGTGGGGATGACATCATAATTCATATTTATAGATATTAATATTATATCATTTGTAAAACATTTGTGTTTATCTAAAGGAAGAGGAGTGTATTTAATGGTTTTTATTGAGAAACAAATTTAATAATACATTAGTTGCCCATTATATTGGATATTTTATACTCAATCGGCGTACAAAAGTGTATTAAATGCAATTTATATATTATTATTATTAATATTATATTATATCAATAGATATATTAAACAGAGATCATTGGTATAGTATAGTACAGTATATGTGTGTTATTACCACACATTCACAGACTTTTATGGTAATTCAAATCTCATGATATATCGAGACATTATATATGGCATTTGAGACGTGTTTTAACTGTTTTTGACGGATAAACACAAGAAAATGTTGTTTTAGTGATTTTATATGATATGATGTGATTTGTTGTTGTTTAA